TGAAGGATCAAGGCCAGTGTCTCTTGGCTGCACACAGAGGTTGCATGACTTTCATCAGCTACTCCTAGTGGCATAAAGAATAGATTCTGGCATACAGTGTTAAGTAGGTATGTGACACCACAAGGTCTACAAACCAGATGATGTCCAAGAAAGTCTCTGAATAGATTGATTTTATTTGTAATCATTTCAAAGACGCATATTTTCGATGGCAGAGAGTCCAGCTTTGCTCTGAAATGCAGCTCACTGATACTGAAATCAGCTTACTTTGTTCATAAGACGTTCCTAAATACGATTGTGTGGAAAAGTTAAAATCTCATGAATTCCTAAGTCATCTAGAGCAACTGACCTCTAAGAAAACACAGTGTTCCCCATTTCCCTTCTGGCTACTTCCCCCTCTCTCACATTTTTTTATAATTTTCTACTCTTGGATCTTTATCACTGGAGTCTGTCGCCTCACAGACGGAAGACAATCTGAGAGGAATGTGTTTCAGCTATTCATGAAAAGGATTTTTATATATTAAACTATTAAGCGAACACACACTTCTGAAGGAAAAAAGTGAGCTATCCTATCATTATTCAGGGGAAAAGGCCTGTAGTCTTAAATGTAGCCTTTAATACTTTATGCATATGTGCTTTAATTTAATGAGCAACTATAGAGGAATTACAGGTGTTCTCTGAGGAGCATAAAGTATGCCTCTGTGTGAAAGGGTGGGAATTCTTTTTAGTTCCATTATCCATCTTCCTCCAGAAATGCTTTACATCTAAATTTACAAATTTACAACTAGTACTAAGAAAAATTTTTAACAAGATTTCTTAAAATTAACTATCAGAGGAGATAACCATTTAACCTTGTTCTCTACACTGGAATGTCTGTCTCATACCACAGGTATTACAAGAATGAAATACAATGGCAATGTTTTTCTTATGCATATTACTTTTTTGAATTGAACATCTGCTGCCAAATTCATTTCTGGTCTTGAGATGAGATGCATGCATATGCCTACATGAAAAGCATATGGGGAAGCACTTAAAAAAACCCACAATTCAATTCCTTTCTGCTGTTGACTTGCAAATCCTACCAAACCAAGTATTTTTTTAGAAATCTGTTAACGAATGGTCTTCTCATTCACCGAGTCTTCCTCTAGAATAACAATCCTTCACAACATCATGTATTTTCTTTGTAATGACAGAATGCTGCAATCAAAAAGAGCATCTCTCATGGTGTTATAAACCATAAGATGCCACTGTTAATGTATAAAACTATCTACAGGCACACCACACAAACTTTCCCTCATCGGTAATAGTCATAAATTGCTCCTTACTCTTGACGCAAACTCCACATTGTAAATGAAATTATATTTTGTCATGAATGTCATTAACTAGAAATAAAGAAATGTTAAGTTTGCTGCTGTTCTTTTCCTCTCAAATGCAATTGCTTTAATTTCCAACCAGAAGATGTTCTTCAAAACCAGTGTTGCCTGATATGCTCACCGGTCCCTACGTACATGAAATCGTTTGGCTTGGAAGACCTCTCCTTTAGGCACAACATACTACTACAGTGGACGAGGAGCAAAGCTGAAATCTGTCAATGCGTTTTTGCAAGTTTGAAAAAGCTCTTTGCTTACAGGATAAATAATTCCAATGAGAATAGAAGTCTAGAGAAAGTTGAAACAGTGACACGTTCTCAGAAATATGCTGTAATTCCTATATTTACTGTCTTCATCAGTTCCTGCAGTATTTTAAAACCAGCAGGTACTGAAAATGAAGTGCCATTGCTTTAACTGGTGTAGAGAAATGACAGGAATGCAGATGGCAGTACATCCATTTAGACATTCACTCAGGTTTTCCTCCTCTGAGAGCTTCTCTTAGTGAAGCATTTGTCCTGAAGATCCTGTGATAGAAGACATTTCTACCTTCTAGAGAAGTTTTCGGGGTGAAACCTGTGATGGTATCTTCATATGGTTACCTGTTGAGCACTCTCACTTTGGGAACCTAAGCACCTATGACAAAAATCTAGGGAAGGTAAGTTACATGACACTCCATTTCAGACTGATACAGGTGCTGAGGAACCGTAGTGGTGATTGGTTCTACACAATTCTTCCTAACCTTGGTAAGGTGCATGAGGGTAGTTAGGGTACATGCTATCACTTCTGCCATAAATACTCCTAATTCATATGCCTATAAGCACGCCAGACACTACTTAATTTTGGTAAGCTGGATGCACTGCTTCGATTATACCCAACACTGACCATATACACTTATTCAAAGAAATAGGCACACATATGTGCAGGCAATATTCTAGATACATAAACCATATATGATGTCACAGTACATATATACACATAGTAAAATCACACTCACATGCAAGGATAAATATATTCTAAACGCTCCAGAATGGAAACATTATAAACACATGTTAAAATTTGCTAAGTATTGCAATATGGACAAATAAATTCTCATATATAATATATATATATATATAAAAAAAAATACAGGTTATTTTTTAAATTACTAATACATTTAGAAACATGCATTTAATTAATCTTCTAAAGATACTTTTCAATTGGCAGGTATATTAATGCTTACAGAGTTTTTCCTCTTCCATAAACTCAGAGATACAGTCTCTGCTTACAACGGTGTTCTACCTAAGATGTAATTACGTGAATTAACAAAATCAATACATGTTTTCCTCAAATTATGTTGAGCTGTAAAAGAGGTTAATCTACCACCTTTTCTACAATATATGGAAATGCTGTCAAAGAGACTTATTTATTTGTCCTAGTAATTATTGCTCTCTGCCTGATAAAAGTACCCTCCTTTGCCATTTAAGCAAGCAGTTTACTTTGTAAGGACTATCAGAAAACATGAATATTCTAACTTCTCTGTATATAATTCAGCAACTTGTCAAGTTTAATCATATATTAAAATAGGAGCTATTCTTCTTGCATATTTCATCAAATTAAACCTCTTAATATTTCATGTTTAAATAGGGGAGGGATAGTTGTGAGGCAAAATAATTCTGAACTATTGTACATGGAAATAGATTCTGTCCTCTCTAGAAGTAACATTCCAATAATCTCATTTGCTTTCTCTTTTATTTCCTCCTCTCCTTTTTCTACTCAAATCTGCTTGGAGAACCTTTCAGAAGTTAAGACTCCTATATTTACTGCAAGGATACTCAGTATCCCTGTTTGTCAGCTGCTATTAAAAGTACATATATAGAAAATAATACTTTTCCATATTCGATATAGATTTGTCCATTATACTCACTGCTAGTGTGTCGTAGCATCTTCCAGTAGTGCCTTATTTCATATGAATAACACCTATTGTATTACAGCTTGAGAAGTTCAATCATTTAAGGTGTGAGAGGTGGGCTGACTTCAGTCACAACCTAAAAAAACCCATTACCTGAACAAGACAACACAGCTACCAGAAACAAGTAAAGGAGGTGATTTTTTCCAAACACTTTAAATAGCTCTGACTTAGAACAATACAATCCTCCCTCCACGCTTACATGCTGGCACAACTGAGATCAATGAGTAACCCATCCTTTACTGTTTCCTAGGATCTCAAGCATTTAAACACCAGCTGAGTGAGAAAGAGCTGAAAAATCAGAACAGGCCTCCTTAGCAGGTGGGAGGAAAAACACATTCCTGTGACTACTGATCTTGCCTAATACAGTAAGTTCCTAAAAATAAAACTATTCCTTATTTCCCAGCATTCCATTTCTCTTTGTTCACTGAACTCAGTTTGCACAATGAAGCCAGAAATATCAGCTTTCTTTTCTCCGTCTTCAACATTAGCAAAATGTCAGTGGGTTTGGATTTCTTATATTAAAGGAGAAAGATTATGGTTCAGGGTTTTTGTCATTTTTGGTTTTATAGTTTTGGTGCAGTTCTCTGAACATCATGAAAATATTACATAACACTAATAAGTTTTGAAAATCTTCTTTCTTACTTTCTAATACCAAAGTCTAAACATTGGATCTATCCTAATAAATCATGCTCCTCTTGATAATTCAGGATAGAGGAGTCCATGAATCTCAGAGGAGAGAAATAAATTTTGATCATGGCGGAGTAATAACTTTGACCGATGCAGATACAGGCAGTCACCGTATTTGTTTACGGTGGGTTTGATGCTAATTGAGGAGGAATAAATCCTCACAACTTTACACACTGCGAAGTCATGTCTAGATCAGATGATTACGCAACCACTTCCCTTTACTAGATTTTAAACTACTCTTGACTCCCTTTGCACAGCTGAAGATGAGTATATGAAACGGCACAATGGGTTAAGTAATCACAATGAGCAAGCAATATGTCAGGCTGATTTGACTACCAATCAAATAAAGAACCAACTACACAGACCATGCTACCAGATCTAGGCCAAAATCCCACCTAGTACCCATCTTTTACTCCACTGAAGAACAAAACTGACACAAATTGCTGAAGTACTTTCCATGAGTAGACTCAGCTAAAGTGAGTTTTGTCATAATGCACATTGTATTGGAGGTAAACTTCAGTATTTGTTGTTGTCACTCCTCAAAATCAAAGAGCTTTTAATGATTTCGAGTACCAATGACTTCATACTATCCCCTTCTTAAGATAGATAATGTTGAAAAAAAAATGGATGTGCTTTTGATCTCAAAAGCAAAAGGACACTACATTTATATTTATTTTTTGTTATGAAAATATAACTCAATGTTCACAGTAATCCTGTATCTGTCTTCAGGTAACAAAACAGAAATATGTTGAATTACACATGTTTTGGCATCAAACAAACCCTACTGAAGTCAACTTAAGCTGAAGGTAAACTGTACTTGTAAAAATAACAAAAATTCTATTTTAGATGCCTAAATATGGATCTAATAATTTTACTTTAGACACTTTTTCCTGCCTATGATACACTTCAAAGCAAAAAAATAACATGGCTTTTTAATGTAACATTTCTGTAATTCTCCAAGCAAAGAAATTCAGTGTTGAAAGGCAGTAATACTGTACCTTGATTTCTTCTATTTCGTCTGGCACTATCTTGTATGCAGATACAGTCCCACCCAACCTGAAATCAGGAGAAGAAAAATATTCTCTGAAATTAGAAGAAAAATGTTCTCAAAATCAATAACACAAAGCACAGCATGTTAATGGTGTCATGACTTGTTCCAAAACATAAATATCCCTTCTACCAATTTAGAGGTAAAATCCACCAAGCCCCAAAACAACAGCAAAAAAAACCCCTTTCCTTTCTTTATCCAAAGAAAAATCTTCATGTGATTAACACAAACACTAGAAACAAGGTGTCCTTCACTAGCCTGAAAGATAAGAATTAGGTCAACCAAGCAGAATTACCATCACCAGGGTGTTATTCTTTATATTAACAGCCATCAGTCATCATATTCTATGATTTCTTGTTTGTTGTCTACATCGTATGGATGAGTTTAAATATTTGAAGCCTGATGTGCTTTGTGCTTAGCATTTCACTAAGCTGCTATACAGTCTTAAACGCATCCAAATGCAATTCTAGAAATTGAAATTTTTTAATTATATGGGCTTGTACAGACCTCAAACCACAGACTCTATGGCTTCCATGTTTGAAAAGTCTCTGGAGTTCATGATTGGTAATAAAAAGCAGGTGATGTGCAATAGTTGGCACTGATGTAGAAAAATAGGGGGTTTTGTTCCACATTGAACTTACTGAACTTACTTGTCTACATCCTGCAAAAGTTTATGGTAAAGAATAGTTCACATACTGAAGATGCAAGAATAGCATGTACTGTAAATGGTGGTAAATACTACATTTTCCCCAGAGACATGCAGACACGGCTTCTTCTATTTCATGAAGCAGTATCATTGATAGTGACAATTCAGACCTAAAAATATACCTGCACTAATGACCTCCCTGCTGGCTCTGCACAGCAACACTAGTCATTTTCTGGGTCCTACAGAAATGGAAAACACATAAGAAACTATTTATTGTACAGCAGTAGACAGCTATCAAATGTGTATTTGTGTTATTTCCCTATTATCGGAAATTTTCCTTCCAATTGTCAGCATTTCTACAAAGATGTATTTCCTTATATTCAATCTTGAAATTATTACACATATTGTTTACTCAACCTAAAAAGGGGAGAAGAGAGTAACACAGAAAAATATATTAAGATTTTCCCCATAAGCCCTGCCTTTCCATGTCTCTACAAATCACTCACTCTCAGAAATGAACGGTTTGAAGCCTTTAGACAGAAGATGAAGTCTGCATAGGAAAAGTCAAGTCTGAAGTCCATCGCTGCTCCAAGTAATATCAACTATGATTTCCAAGGCAGAGACAGGGTCCAGACATTACAGCATTCAAATTCATCATGAACAATTACAGCGTAGCAATTGCTCTCTCCTATTTCCTCTGCAACTTCCATTGCTGCTAATCATCAATGGAGTTGAAAGTTGCAGAAAACTGAAACTTTTTCTTGCCAGTGCAAGTACAAACATGAGCTTTTATTCTTCACTATATCTGACCTTTGTTCAAATGGTGTTTCCAGGGATAGCTACAAGAAATTTGTTTTAACATCACGACAAAGGATTGCTTCATCATACCATGACAAGGAATGGCTCAGATCAGTGCATGTTATCATTGCACATGACCCATTCTATTGTTACTGGAATGAGGTCCGTAAGAAAACACTTTTTATTTAGTTCTTTCAGATCCATTCTTGTCCACACTCTGGAGTACTCAAAAAATAACTTCATTGACTTTCTATCCTCTAGTAGAAGGGGAGGACAGAGCCTCTGCTGCCAGCACTCCACCAGCAGGGAATTCCACCTGGCAGATTTCTTTACTGGCCACCCTCGGCACAACTATTAAGCACTTTCTTGGAATGCATCAGAAAAAAAATTTAAAAATCAAAGTAATTGACTCAGTAAACTCATATGGCTTGCTTAAACCATTATTTAGCATCATTTTCTGCAAATACTTCTGCAAAGTTTTGTGTCAAGAGTGTAACATACTCTGAATCTGCCAAGTTGCAGTCCAAATGGTAGCGCATTTTAAAAATGTCCGTTACCACAATTCCACATTTTTGAAGGAGAAAGATATATTAAAAGTTATGTTACTGTTTAAATAAACAATCTCTCACCTATAGCTCCAGCTCACCATATCTATCTTAATACATTTTCAATCCTACACTGACATTTTTAGCTTGAAAATCCAGACTACATACATAAATAATAACAAATTTGAAACTGAAAGAGAACCAGAGACACATAAATATACAATTATATAAATGCCTCAGTTAAAAATGTCCGTTACCACAATTCCACATTTTTGAAGGAGAAAGATATATAAAAAGTTATGTTACTGTTTAAATAAACAATCTCTCACCTATAGCTCCAGCTCACCATATCTTCTTAATACAATTTTCAATCCTACACTGACATCTTTAGCTTGAAAATCCAGACTACATACATAAATAATAACAAATTTGAAACTGAAAGAGAACCAGAGACACATAAATATACAATTATATAAATGCCTCAGAGCTGAAATGAAGTTTTTGAGGAAGTCTATACTTTCTTCATTTCAGACAATTAGGTTTCACTTCATCTTATAACTCCTGGAAGAGAGATCCACCACAGCAGACTGCCAGTTAAACCCGGTGCTATACAGGACATAATAAAGACATTTGACTTTGTGTATGAAGTTTGGTTGTGAATTTCACAGAAGTTCAAAGGCATCACACACATTGGGAGGATCCAATTAACACAGCCTGAACTCTTCTACTGGTCATAAATATGATATATGCGAGGAACAGAATTTTTGTTTTTACTATATAATAATGTATCTACGAGAAAAAAGGATTTAAGCTGCCTATTTGGCAACCTGTGAGTAGTGAACAATAACATATAGATAACATTTAAAAGCAGTCTGCTTTTTTTCTGGCAAAATGCCTTGATTAGCTTCAATTTCACGCACAAAATATATGCCATACAATTCACTCGCCAAATGAACTTAAGAGGCAGAACCAGTTGTGAAACGTGCTGCATACTCTTCACTCAAAAATCATAAATCCCAGTTCATTCCAACCGCATGGTAAATGCTCTGAAAAGAAATTTGAAAGCGCTTAGTCTGATGTTACCAAATTGCTATTACAAATCTCCCACAGTCAGGTAAGTCCACAGTGTAAGGGACTACACAATGTCACACACGCAAAAGTTACTGAGAAAAACAAAACCGTTGTGATGAATGGTAAGAAAGAACAGCAAAATCAAGGCAAACTGAAAATCAATGCATTAATTGGTATGCCCAACTTAAGGAAAATTTTGTATTTTGAGTATTTCTCTGAATTACATTTAAGCGTCACTATCAATTGTGACCTGTCTGGAAATTTGCTTGTTATTTTGCAAATCCTTGATTTGATCACTGACGTCTGAACGAACAGAGACCAGACAATTACACACAGGAGATTTCAGCTACAGGATGATACACAGTCTGTGACAGGACTTGCACATGGCATACGTGTTTTCATTTTCTTGGGAGCAACCTCTCTCTGCAGGTTGGTTTTGTTAGGACATTCAACACTAACTTTTTTGATCACAGTGTTTCAAGAAGCAATTACACTGCGATCAGAAAAGCAAAGGACCAGCTAGCATGAGTACACATTAACCACTGTGGGCTTTGTACGCTAGAATATAATGCAGCAAAGAACATGTCAGAAGGGCCAGAATTCAGTTCACCAGGGACCTAATTTTTGTGCAGATTCACTCTTCATCTTTCACACATTTTAGTTTTATTATACATTTAACCGTATTTTTCTCCAGTTGAAGAACACAACAACCAGCATCCTACAATATAAATGGCATTTTCTCTCAGAACAAATAGACAACCAACCAAAAGCAAAGCTAAATATACAGACAGCTACTTCCAGTAAGCTGAAAAGACAGTCACAACTTCATCTGTATAGACCTACTGCGCAAAGTCTTTCTCTTCCAAACGGCAGTATTTTCACACTATAGCAAGCCACATTATTTAATAGTGAAAGTATTTTAAATACTAGTTAGCTTTAATTTTTCACATGTGTTTATGTAACAGATAACCTCTGAAAGGTCCCACAATTTATATTCAAATTTCGATAGACATCAGTCTCATCGGGTCCATATCATACCTTGCATGTAATACAGACACCCCAGTTCTCTAATCTCTTTGCAGAAGAGAAGTAAAATTATTCCTAGATGTAGAAATTAGAGTTGACACAATAAAAAATGAAGAACCACACCTTATATTGGGCTAAACTGGTGAGGGTCTTTGAGGAGAGAATCAGAAAAGATAGGATAGAAATTCCATAAAAATAATTAGGAAATAATACAACTCATATAACTATTTGCACAGGAGTTTGTGAAAGAATAGAAACTTTGTGTCTTTTTTAGGGAAATTATATTAGGAAAAAAGTGCATCTCAGGTTGACATATAATGCAGAGACTGGGTTCACAGAAAGTTCACAAAAAGGTTTCAGGAGAATGTTGAAAGCAAGGTTTCTATAGCAACCTAAGAAATTAGCAAAACATAGGAAATAAACTGAAGTGAGGCCAATATAGTTGTATTGGAACAGATGGAAGCTTTACTATTTCACAAATTAAAGCAGAATATCACTGAAGAGGGAAAACTTGAACTTCATCCAAGTTAAGGAAAGTTAAAAACCAGGAGGAACTGTGCTCAAATGGAGGCAAGAAACAATGAACCGCAGCCCAAATGGGAAGAGAACTCGAGAAGACAAAACAAAGAAATAAATTGCAACCCTGTTAACGATAAACTATCCATTATTTTAATAAGTTATCCTTTTATGACCTGTTTGCTGTATGTTTCAATACTCTATTTAAAATAGAAACTGAATTTCTCATTTTTAAAACATTTATTCTGGATATAAGGTTAATATTATCACTGTGTTATTTTCCATATAGTTGCAAGTTGGACTTCTGAATGGTTTTCCCCTGTGACCTTGTACATATGCATATGCCAATGGACTCACTGGAGTATTATTGTATAGCTACATCATGTGCAAGACACTTGTGCACTTG